AGTATGTTTTTCCATTATATGGATGGTACAAAATCCAAAGTTTCTCAAAAAAGTAGAATTCTGATTCACCACAAAATAATAACAATATTATTATTATTATTACTCTCCGCAAACATCGATCTTGGATACGAGGAATTTGTATTTGTTTAACTTCGGATAGTCTTAGAACCAAAAAAAAAAAAAATGAAACTGAACTTAGGGGGGTGATAAAAATCATATGCTTTAGTTATACAATTTTTTGAATAATACGAATGTATAAGAAATCAATTTGAACCCGGTAAGGCCTTAATTTCAAATTTGCCCAGGGCTTCATGATTCTATCCAGTAATAAACTTTTATTTCGACGGTAGTGGCAATATTACTTAACATTCGATTAAAATTACAACAAGCGATGTTACAAACATTCTCACTGTTCAAAACAAGGTGAATTCAAGTGATTGTAATGTTACGAAGTTTATTTTTTAACTCGGTATGTCGAGGGTAGAAAATCCGGGTATACGTTCCGCGAACAGATGTTACATCACACGCCATCGAAATGTGGGTTATTCTCCAAGTTTAACCGTTACACGAAAACGGTGAATGAATCGGAATTGCATATTATACGTATTATATTGGAATAAAATGCAAATTTGCCCGAGCTGCGCCTAGTTGGATCCACAATCGAGAGTAAAATCTGAACTTGACCCCAATTTCGATGCCACTGAACCGAAAACGCAGAGCCGGAAACACGGCGAACATTTTTTTATTCCTACAATGCGGCTTACTTCCTCTTCGCGGAAGAGAAAAACAAGCCTTTTCAGAAATGCTGGAAAAGGATGTCCATGTTAATTAGATATACCAACAAATTTTTCCTCTTAACCAAAACAAAAAGTGAAGGTGATGAGTATGTAACATTCTTTTACTTTAACTGTAGGCAGCTCTAAGTGTCCCCCAGTGGCGTAACATGCACCCTTTTATCATCAAAACAATCAAAACAACAGTATACCCACAGTATCTAGTTTGAGAATACTTTTGAATTATAATTCAAACATAAGGATATACGAATACAGTTCTGTTTTAAATTAAATTTTGTAAAGTTCTTTTTTTATGGAATTTTCAGCATCCTAAATAGAATTATTACAAACCTTAATATGTGTTCCAAGAGTTTTAAATGGTTATCATAGCTTAGATTTTTTGCAAACTGCGCCGTTTCGACAAAAACATTTTTATGAACTGAGGATGGATTCCAAATTTCAAAAGCGCCGCTTTCAAACTTTGTTTATGTATAGGGTGATTCCCTATATTTTAACCCCCCCCCCCCCCCTTTAACTTTTTTGGTTCATGAGTTATAAAAAAAATGTGAAATACAAAAGTTGCACGATTTTTTATGAATTTTTCGAAACTGATAGTAGAAAAACAAATGAGGTCCAAACAAAATGGCCGCGGATGTTAACTTTGTTAAGTTAAATAGAATATTTTGGATAGAACGTTCCCTATCGAGCATAGCCATATGACTATGCTCGACAGGGAACGTTCTATCCAAATATGTAAAAATATACAGTGTGTTCCATTTAACTTAACAAAGTTAACATCCGCGGCCATTTTGTTTGGAACTCATTTGTTTTTCTACTATCATTTTCGAAAAATTCATAAAAACTCGTGCAACTTTTATATTTCACATTTTTTTAAATCTTTCAAAACAAAAAAGGTAAAAGGGGGTCAAAATATAGTGAACCAATTAAAATAATAATAAGAAAAAAAAATGATATTGGTGCTAAATATTATTTTTCCCTTGGTACAAGAATATATTTTCTCTTATTAATTCCCAAGTGGCAATAGGTCTTACCTATGTCAAAAAAATACATGTCCGTCGCTGTGCATGAAGAAAAATTATTATTCCTCGAGATTATCGCAAGAGACAATATAAAGTACCTATACCGAGTTTCACTTGGATGTGATAAGCCAATTTGGAGAAAAACATGTATTTGGTGGTGGTGATTTTGGTGGTGCATCTTTATCAGTCCCTGACTTTTTTACTTAGCATTTTTCAGCCTATGACAACAGAAGATTTTTTGCTTAAAATTACATTTGCTATCTCATGTTTCATTTTGACACCCTGTATATACAGGGAGTCCCAAATTGCACAGGGCGAACTGGTGATAGAATATCTCAAAGTAAGAAAAAACGTACCTATACCTACAGTATGTCTGCGGATTGAGTTTATAAATGGACAAATGGACCAAAAAGTGAAAGATACGAAAAAAAAGCATTCTTGATAAAAGTTTTTGCTTGTTTAGAAAATACGAATCACCATGACGAACTTCAATTTTGTCGCACAGGGTGGGTCAAAAACACAAAAATGTTATCTTGAGTAAGAGTAAACATACCTTATTTTGCGAGATACGAAAAAAGGCATTATTGATAAAAGTTTTTGCTTACCTCTAATCAGAATACCTAGAGATGCTTGATACATTTTTTAGAGATGAACTCGAAAATTTTGTGGTCCCCAAGGTGCCCTGACTATACCATTGCCGATATGATTCTATGGGGCCGTTTAAAACGAATTGTTTATGCTACTACACTACCAAATAATATCAGAAATCAGAAATTCCTTCAGGAAGCAATCAGAAAAATGTGTTCAATATGGGGGTGGCGTTTTTGAAATTTGATATCTTCATCATATTGCTTTGTTTACTTTTTTTGGTTTACCTAATAGTAATTATTGTATTTCAGTTTTGTACTTTGTCTCCTGTATAAAAAATTAAATTTTTGATAACGTTTACTTTTACGCAAAATAACATTTTTGTGTTTTTGACCCACCTCTATACAACAAAATTGAAGTTCGTCATGGTGATTCATATTTTCTAAACACTTTTTAGTCCATTTATCTTGTAAACTCTTGTATTTTCGGAATTGAATGAGTGTATTTAATTCTGATTGGTATTTCTAAGAGGAAAAGATGTCTTCCATCCACTCGAGTCAATAATAAATAATCGAAATAGTTTAATAAACCGAAAATAGCTCCAAAACTATTCTCAAACAAAAATGTACAAACGTTTTTCGTAGAAATGAAATTTTAAATATAATGTGTGCAAAACCATACTTATTGTATCAACTTCGACGTCGTCACCTGTTACATGGGTGTTGCACAATACTGAAAACGTTATATTGACAGTTACAGTAGAAGGAAGCGCAAAAACAAGCGCTTATAGGTGGGGAATTCTGGAAGAAAGCCTAGTTAGTTGAAGTGAGGAGAACAGTGTGGTGATGGGTAGGAAGTCGATCGGTAGTGTGACAAAATAGTGAAAAATAAAAGTGTTTAACCGGTTATTCTCTAAGTACCTACTTTGTTGTTAATTGTTCTATGTATGTTGTATGTTGTGATGATTATAGACGTTTCATGATAATAATTCTGTTTATGTTTAACCTTCATTGTCTTATGCTCAGGGGCGTATATTTTTCTAACGTAAAATTTTTACAATTATTATTAAAGATTGCTCATTATTTATTACATTTTAAAATATGTATATATTGTCGTGACTGCCCGGATATTGCAATAACAACTCCTTTGTTTCACATTTAACTTGTTTTGTCATGATTACGTTGTTCGAAAAACAAGTAATAAAGCATTTCTTGTGCTCATTTTATGTCATACGCATATAAGAGCTTTGTTGAATTTACTAACATTTTCGCCCATGAGGAATGAATCTGTAAAAAGAATAATTAAATACAAAAAGAATTGCTAAAACAGATCTTCCGAAATCTCAACTCATAGCTGGATTGCCTCCCGTATGGGACTCCAGTACATTGAGTCATTGTTGCTTATCTGTTATATATTTGTATGAATTCTTATTGTGAATTTTATTGTATTTACTTGATGTTTTCCATGCATTGTATTACGTCTCAGGAGAAATGAAGCATATTATTATTGTTATTATTATTATTGTTATTATTATTACCTTCCGGCCCTGCCGGCTAACTAACACCAAACCTCTTCAGTTTTACTTGGAAGTGTGTATGTCTGATTCGAGTGAGGTGACATTTAGTGACACATTAAATAAGTCAAGTCTTAATTATCATTAGCAAAGGATCTTTATGCCTTTTATTAGCGGTTGTTTTGTATTTATATTTGGGTAGTTAGAGCAACGATCGTGGGTTTCTCTGCCATGCTCTTTCCCCACAGGAGCTTTAGGTGAGCCTGGCACTCTTATTTTATGTTAAACGTTTGTTAATGTTTTTGTTGTTCTTTCTATTTGTCACATGTTTAATTTGAAGACTGTTGTACGTAAATAATAAAGTTAGGTGTATTTACTCTGCTTTTGTTTTATAAAATTAAACCATACTGCCCCTCTTTAAAGTTAGTAGCCAGCGCCTTCCGGTCAATTAAAAATAGATGTATACAACGTAGGTATTCCTTATGACGATCACATATTTCTGACCACAATTACGTTTATATTTTTTTTTATCGAACCCGGGGTTGTTATACTACAAATGTAATTATGAAATGTCCAAAAACGCATTTATACTTACAATTCTGAAAATATTCATCACTGGGGTTCTTGGCGACTGTACCTCCCATCATCTCACTGGTTGGTTGTTTTTTTTTTTTAATTGCAACGTTCTGTATCTCGAAAACGAAACGTTCTACGATCTATATTTATATTGACATTTTTTCTCATTTTAAGATGTTCTATCACTAGGTAACCTGCTAATTGGTCTGTAATATACTGGGTCTTCGGAAATAGTGGTACTTCACTTTGAGGGTAGATTTGTCGTCTCAAAATAAGACAAATATTTCATAAAAACATGGTAAACTTATCCCTCTCCTTCAAAGCAGTTAAAAGTTATTGGCAAAAACCCATTTATTTAAAGTCATCTTCAAACGCGTCTACTTCCCGTAGGGTGGATTTGCGGGCCCATATTTATATGAAATTTTTGTCTTATTTTGAATCGACAAATCTACCCTCAAAGTGAAGTACCCCTACATCCGAACACCCTGTATAATTTGAAATTTGTTTCAGGATGAAACTGCCATATATAACAGTCGCCATATTGGCGACTAGTCTGTTAGTCGGAGGAATCCTTGCCGATGAAAAAATAATTAGAAAACGAACAAGACGAAGTAAGTATTCCAACGTCACAAGTTAGGAGATGCCTAAATTCTTAAATTAATTCTCCAAGTTAAAAGTAAAGGATTAAACACAATACTAAAATGGATTAAATATTAGTATTATACAGAGCGTACATATAACAAAGTGCTCTTCACTTGAAGTCTTCATTTTTGAGATACATGGAAATATCGAAACGAAATTTATGATACTATTCTATAACATTTGGTGGAAAGCAATACAAAAGTATGACCTTCAGTTTTTACGCCTTTTTTAGTAAATAGATGTCATATTATACACACGTGATTTTAACAGAAAGTTAGTTCTGGCAAATTGATAATAAAATATTGCATGAGATCTGATTGACAAACGCGGGATCAAGAAATTAAGCTGAGAAAGAATATAAGGGCCAGTCAATCAAATTATGTAATATATTGTAAATAAATCTGACAGAGCATACAAATCTCCAAGGACTGAATATTAAACCTAGTTGTTAATATTTCACATCACATCTAAATAAAAGATGTTTCAGAAACTTTATCTGAATAAATTCAATATTGTCAACGTAAGAGTCATAATATGGATACCAAGCTACACCAATGAACGGTATTCAAACTCGGATCTAACGAAAGCATAATATAATATTTTTAAGGTGTTAGGGTCTCTAAATGATTTACTGTTTCTTATTATAAATCCTAATTACATAGAAAATCCTCAGTAGAACAGTGTCCACTGAGTGTTTTAGAACCAATGTAGTAATCGTACAGGACATGACTGGATTTACGCGTGATCACTTTGCATTTATTAACAATAAAAGTAACCCCCGATGTAGTTATACAGGGTGTATCTTGAGTGATGACTTTAATTTCAAGGGGTGATTCCTTGTCATATTTTAAGCAAAAGAGTGCATATGAACATCGGTCCGCAAGTGCTTCGTTACCGAGATACAGGGTGTCAAAGTTGGGAAAATAAATCGCATTTTCTTAAATATCTTTCGACTGATTCGAAATAATTTAATGAAATTTCATACACGGGGGTTTTTTGGAATGACAAATTCAAAGCTGTGGTCAATTTAAGTGTCAAGTCAAACCAGTACCGCAGGTAGAAGGCATGCTAATTACATTTTATTCTAAATTATTTTAAACGGACATAGTTTCTTCGTAGAGACGATGCAGTTTAGATAAATTTAGACTTATTTACTTAAATCAATTTAGAAACAGGGTTCAATACAGTTTTCAATACGTTCTTGATTTATCCATGTATTGCGCACATAAAATTTTGTTTCAATATCCTCAAGATTGTAGAAGATAATTGGAGATATAACATTTTTCATTAAAATTTTAAAAACGACGACCTTATTTTTGTGAAAAGAGATTCCTCATTGTATTAATTAGCATATGAGTTCTTGTTAGGATAAATAATACTCATTTTATTGGCACTAATTATTATCACCATTTGGGTACCATTTCATATTGCCATCTTGCTTATTTTTTTATTATTGGACGACATACTTACATTCTGGGACAAATTAATACAAAGAAGAAAATTGTTATAATACTTTTGTCTTCAAAAGATCAACATACCTACAGTTGTATTTGCCTTTTCTAAACACCGTATATAATGTAATTTGGTTATTTTAAACAAAAAAAGATATATGATTATGCATTAATAAAACGCTTTGATTGCATCTTTTTACACAAAGTAGGTATGTACTTTAAAGTATACAGGGTGATTCACAACACAAAAAATTTGGGAATAGATGCTGCATGAGAAATGGAGTCAATGTTGTAAAAAAAAATATGTAAAATCCTTATAGTTTCTGAGAAAAAATTATTGAAGTTATAGCACATTAAACCACTACATAGTTGGACAACTGTAGTCTCTAGCGTCATTCGCAATACGCGTGGAGAGCCATGTGACTCCTAATACTGAAATCTGTCGTTGCGGTAGTTTTTACCTGTTATCTGTGTTGTTTACAACAGTTTTTTAGTAGTTAGTGTCAAAAATGGCTTGCGTGTATAGCAACTCAGAGTTGATGGATATCGTTTTAATTTATGGTGAAGCAAGACTACATTTGTATTATGGTGAAGTATTTGTGTTATGGTGAAGCAAGACATCATTTGTGTTAGTTCGTAGAAAGTGAGTAAGACGGACCCAAATGTGTTTACACGTGAGTGGATAAAATTTTGAACAATTGCTGTTGCAGCATCGGGTATGTCAAATGATTTTATTATTTAAAAACACAAATTAATTTTATTAATAATTAATAAAGGCAAAAGCATTTGAATTTGCCGATATAAAATAGGTGCGATAAAATTCTATTTACATATTTCTTTCCTTGCGAAAGTTTTTGTCCGTTTTTATCACACCGCCATGCCGGTCGCATTGTGCTAGGTCAGGTTTTACAGTGGACCAGTTTACAGTGCCGTGCAGAAGTTTATTTTTAAATCAATTTCGAACTGACCTTTTTGATTTTTTCTTTACAAAATTGTATTTGTAAGGGTCCCCTGTACATCCAGATTTTTTTTGGATAAGTTCTGAATCACCCTGTATACATACAGATCAAGCATTTTCATAAAGTTAATACAACTTTCATAGAAAGCTTCTGCCGTCGAATACTAACATTTTCACTAAACGCCTTCATCCAGGTAATCGAGTTGCCAGACAAACCAGCGCAGATCAGATGGTGCAAAACATCCTGAAGTGGCTACAGGGAGTCTATACGCAGCAAAGCCGAAGAAGTAGGTTTGCCGACTACGATAATCTATTTAACTTTGCTTCTGGCAAGCTTGACGATGCATGTAAATATCTTAATTGGTACTAATTTTGTAGAAATAGAAAGTAGAGGATCTAGGTTTACTGTTAGAGCTCAATGGTTAGTAATTGACATAAATACAGGGGAAATGGAATTTTATTAACATCTTAAAGAATCCAAGTAATGTTTCAAATATAGTTTTGAATCTGATACAATGATTAATTTTAGTGAATGGCAGTACATGTTTATTGTACTCATCTATATCAGTTACTAATCATTGATGATGGATGAAAGTATCCAATTACAGCTACTTTACTAATTTTGGTTAAATATTGGTATCTGACATTACTAAATATTATGTCTAAGAGAATTGTGCTAATTATTTAACAAACTAATGGTAAAACATTACTAAACTGGCATACGATATACTATACGTATAATATTTCCTCCATTTATTTGTATTAACTGGTCTGTAAATAAAACAATCTTGTTTTGAGATCTAAAAGAATGTTATTATATAACGAAATGACAATATATTTATGAGTTTGTAAAAGAATGCTGCTGTAAGAGTACTCAATGGCATTTTATAATGTAAACAAATTGTAAACATATGAGATAAATTTCCCATTATGTATTTTTATGCGCAGTGGCACTTTTTTACTAGAAAAATTTGCATTCATAATTCTGAGTAGGTTTCTACAGAAATAAATATACAAACTGAGAACCTTTTGGTATGCAGTGTCAGATGAGGATAATTTAATAATGAAAACTGCTTTCTATAAGCGAATAGCGTCTAACGTTACATTATTTTTACTTTCACTATTTAGATGACAGTTTGCCTTCGATGTATTTGAATTGTTAGTGTACCCAAACATATTAAGTTATTAGTAGAAATGAATATGCATTTGGGTAACATGCTTTCAAGACTTTCATACAAGTTCGCGATATTTATTTTTTATAAGCAAATATGTTAATAATAAAAAAAAATTGTAACCGATTAATTAATATGTAGTTGTAAATGTAATGACATTTTTAAGTGATCTAATTTTGAGAATATATTACACCCGCATATATATAATGTAAATCATTTTACTTAACACAATCGTTATTTAGTTCGCCAGGGCACCCTCAGGGAATACCTACCGCCCACGAATACCCAGAAACCCAGGCCATTCGAAACAGCTAGACCTCCAGGAAATGACCAAAACGGAAATTACATCTACGGCGGTTATCCACCTGCAGGAAGCATAACACCTCAGCCCCCGTTCCCAATTTTCACCCGACCTCCTTCTGGAGGTGTGCCCGGGGAAGGTTATCCATCGACTGTTGGGTATCCCCATACAACTTTCCCAGGCCAGGGTACGCCGGCTAGACCATCCGGATATCCTACAGAAACTGCCGGTAAGATTGATGCGAGAGATTTCCGGTATACTCTAGTGCCAAATAGTAGGTATTGACTGATTCTCAACATATAAATTCAGGCGACGGATAGGGCGTCCGGGAAATGCAATTCCATAGGCGTATCATTTTAGAGGGTCCCGAAAATCATTAAATATGGAACAAATGCCTACTATTTAGTTACAGTTGCATTGTATAGAAATATGTCCACGTGTAATATACTCTGTGGCTTCTTTTAGGTACCTCAGGACCAGAAAGTTATCCAACTCCAGGTTTTCCAACGCACGCCCCAGATGGTCCAACTCCAGGGGAATATCCAGGTGGCCACACCGCTCCAGGAGGATTCACAGGCTATCCAGATGGTCAACCTACTCCTGGGGGAACCACAGGACACCCAGGTGGAGAAACTACTCCAGGTTTTACAGGCTATCCAGGGGCTCACACCACTCCAGGAGGCGTCACTGGTTCACCAGGCACCCAGACGACTCCAGGCGGTTTTACAGGATATCCAGGTGGTCCAAGCACTCCAGGAGGCTTTACAGGGCCTCCAGATAGCCACACAACTCCAGGAGGATTTACAGGCTATCCAGGTGGTCAAACGACTCCAGGGGGATTTACAGGCTATCCAGGTAGTCAAACGACTCCAGGGGGATTTACAGGCTATCCTGGTGGTCAAACGACTCCAGGAGGCTTCACAGGCCCTCCAGGTGGTCAACCGACTCCAGGTGACTTTACAGGCACTCCAGGTGGTCAAACGACTCCAGGAGACATCACAGGCTATCCAGGTAGTCAAACGACGCCAGGGGGCTTTACAGGCTTACCAGATGGTCAAACGACTCCAGCTGTTCCAACAGAAGCCTCTACTCAACCACCCATTACATCTGCACCGCCTGAGAAACCAGGATTTCCCACACGACCACCGCCAGCCTTTACAGGATATCCAGAAGGACCTGGTTTGTCTACTCAGCCTCCACCCGAGTTAACCTCGGCACTGCCAGGATTCCCTACCCAACCCCCTCCAGGAGCTTTTACTGGATACCCCACTCGACTGCCCGATGTCACGGATGCAACTACTCAACCAGAACTGACAAGAATACCTACGCAAGCACCTGAAGCCACAGTTCCTCCTCAACAACCAGAAGCTACAGAATCAGCTTCAGAAAAACCGGAAGGAACAGAAGCACCTTCTGAAAAAACAGAAGGCACAGAAGGTCCTGTACAACCAGAAGGCACAGAAGCTCCTGTGCAACCAGAAGGCCCAGAAGCGCCTACATCTGGACGACCTGTATTGTCAACTGAGCCATCTGTAGTAGAAACGGAATCTCCTACAAGTAAACCATCTACAAGTCCTCCTCTAACAGAAACCTTCACATCTGCCACGTCTCCTGAAGAACAGCCTCCTGCAGGAGAACCTACAACTCAGTCACCAGAAATAAATACCATCCCCACAGGACGACCTGAGAAACCTGGTGATACAGAACCAGTAGAAACCGATAGTGAAGATTTAAAACACCCTCCTCACATTCACGCTATTGACGTAGAATGCGCAAAAGATATGATGACGATTAACCTTGAGTTTAACAGGGAATTCAACGGCATAATCTATTCTAAAGGTTACTACAACATGCCTGAATGTAGGTATGTGAAAGAAAACTCTGGTCAAAAGAAATATACGTTTACGGTAAACCTGAACCAGTGCGGTACAGAATTTATTAATGCTTTCGACACTCAAGGACAGTCTTATCTTGAAAACGTGTTAGTACTTCAAAATGAAGCAGGAGTTCAGGAAATATGGGACACAGTTCGCGCTGTGCGTTGTCTGTGGGAAGGAAATTTAAAAGAGACCTTAAGCGTTGCACTTAGCGTAGGTATGCTCAGTCAGGAACTCGTCACCTTCAGTGGAGACACAGCAGTGGCTAAACTAGACATTTTATTGGGTCGAGGAGCACTTGGTCAACCCGCTAATGGTTTGGTGAAAATCGGCGAGCCCATGACGTTGGTAGTTTCGGTATCTGGCGACCCTGGTTTTGATCTTCAAGTCAAAGATTGCAGAGCTACTGACTCTACGGGCGACAACACGATACCGCTTACTGACGACGACGGTTGTGTACTGAAACCAAAATTATTTGGAGCTTTCCAAAAGACGCGTAGTACAGGAGATACCGGGGCGTCCATCATTGCTTATGCATATTTCAATGCTTTTAAATTCCCTGATGTTATGGACCTAATGATTGAATGCAACATTGAACTCTGTAAAACTGATTGTGATATGTGCACAGATCCTAACCAAAAACTGGAACCAGGTCGCCGTAGAAGACGTGACCTTTATACTTACAATGAAACTTTGCATGATGGAGTTACTATGGGTAAACACTTGAGGATAATTTTGCCTGAGGATCTTAATCTTAACGACAGGACTGTTATAGACCTGGGGAGAAATGACGGCGTGTGCATGTCTACCCAAAGCTTTGTATTTTCAACAGCTCTTTTGATCTCCTTATTAACTGCCAGTTGCCTTTTCAGTGCTTATATGTGGTTGAAGACTCAACAACTTAAATTCATTAAAAAGTAGCGTTATTTTATTTTAGGTACCTAAATTATAACAGTCATATTCTTACACCACCAGTCCTGCCAACAATGAATCCTAAGTTATTATTTTAAAACATTTCAGTATTTTTAAAGAGTTTGTATGTGTCTTTATTTATGTAAATAAACCATTAGATAGGTAAAAATTCTTTTTGTATGTACCACTACCAAACCAAGCAGAATTAAAAAAAAAATAAATATACAAATAATATTTTCAATAATGCCCTATAACTTGCAGGATAATAATTAATAATAAAGGTATTAAAGAAACCAGAATAATTCCAATAAAAAAATATGTTTACTTTAAAATTCTAAATATAAATAATTTGGCATGCAGCTTTAGTTTTTGATTATCTGTGAACCTAGAGAGGAGTGCAGATTATTTACATATAAGGGCTTAATTTCTTACAATATGTTTCAAATTTGTGTCAAAACAATCAATAATTTTTTAAATAAGAGTATTTTCAAATCATCACATAATTTACTTTTGAAATAAAATAGCTTCCTCAGGTGTGTTCTCTAATTTGAAATAATTCACTTATCTTCATTAATTTTGAACACCCTGTATCTCGAAAACGAATCTTCTCCGGGGTTATAAGCTACACACCCAGTACAATAAAAAAAATTGGCCCATATTTCATAAAATGTATCTCAAGATATAATGCAATGTATATTCCAAACATACCATTTATATTCCTAGTACCAATTGTGCTTACAGCTTGTTTAACAATCTTTGTAAGTATTGCATATCTAATATTTAATAAATTTAAAGAATTATGGAATCTCATTGCTATTTTGTTAATAGGAATGTAATTGATTTTGAATACTAGATTTAGAATAGTAAATCTGTTCAGAAAGAAAATATTTATGTATAAATTCAGTTCGGTTCAGGAATGAAAAGTAGGTAGGTTATTTAATCTATAGTTGGAGCAGCTTTTTTGTTTCTATTTTTATATATCTATACTAAATTTAATTCAAAATCTATTATAATACAGTAAATTATAATTTTTTGAGCGATTCTAAATAGCAACACATGCATTCTATTCAAAATTGCTGCTTAAAACAAGATAACATTTAGTTTGAGACAAAAAGCCACTTTTCTATCCTCCGAGGCATGAAAAAAATTTTTTTCACATATACAAGTAGAAAAAATATATACATACATACAGGGTGTTCCTAAATAAGTGTTGCAACGGAAAACTGTAAATTCATCTTGAAAAAAGAAACATTTTTTTCCTCTTCCATTTTTCTCTCCGGGCTTTCGTTTTCGAGATACACGGTGTCAAAACTTTAATTTTTTTTTAGTTTTTCGCTAATATCTTAGGAATGGTTTGAACTACACGACTGAGCTTTTGTACACACATTACCACTATTAATAGCTACTTTTTCGCACCCTTCTCGAATTCATTGGACGTATCAGTGGTGGAGAATTTAAGGTATCGTAAGGGTTTTTCCCCCCTAAATTTTACGCCACTGGAAAAATTGACTTTTGACAGCAAATTCTAAAGCGCCAATGAATTTTACACAATAAGAGTTCTCTTGGTTCATTGCTCTAAAGTCAACCGTTTTCAAGAAAAATGACTTTTTATGAACAAAAGCAAACATTTTGCTAACGTTTCGAAAATTTTTTGCATTTTGCATTTTGCATTTTGAACATTTTGCAAGTGCAAGTAACTGAACAGAACATCCGGAGAACGAAATGCATCGTTTATGAAATCCATGTCAATACTATCGAAAAGTTGACCGATAGAGGTGAAGCCGCAGCGGCAGAAAGAAACATGATTAGAAGATGTAATGCGTGCATTCAAGCCAACGGACGTAATTTTGAACAGTTTCTGTAAATTTTACTCGCCAAATTGATAAAAAAAAGTTAAAATTCTATCTGTTGTTAAATTTCGTTAAAATTGTTAATTATTACTACTTATTTTTTGAATTACAAAAGATTTTCAAAACGTTAGCAAAATGTTTGCTTTTGTTCATAAAGTCATTTTTCTTGAAAACGGTTGACTTTAGAGTAATGAACCAAGAGAACTCTTATTGTGTAAAATTCATTGGGGCTTTAGAATTTGCTGTCAAAAGTCAATTTTTCCAGTGGCGTAAAATTTAGAGGGGGGGGGAACCCTTACGATACCTTAAAATCTCCACCACTGGCACGTCCAATGAATTCGAGAAGGGTGCGAAAAAGTAACTATTAATAGTGGTAATGTATGTACAAAAGCTCAGCCCTGTAGTTCAAACGATTCCTAAGATATTGGCGAAAAACTAAAAAAAAATTAAAGTTTTGACACCGTATATCTCAAAAACGAAAGCCCGGAGAGAAAAGTGAAAGAGGAAAAAAATGTTTCATTTTTCAAGAGGAATTTACAGTTTTCTGTTGCGACACTTATTTAGGAACACCCTGTATAGATTTGTGTATAACATTAATATGTACCTACTCTTATTTATACACAAATAATAAATGCTTAAAAGCGGTAAAAACATATCTGAACAATAAACTTTTTTTAACCATTAGGTATCAAAACACCTCTGAGAAATTGAATCATCTTTTTATTTTATTAACAAAAAATATTTTACAAGTTAAAAAAAATAAGTATTCATTCATTTAGTGTGTATAATGTCCTATTTAGGAAACCACATTGACTATCGAAATTAATTTCATATCAACAAGCAGTAACATACTAATACGTATCAAATATTTTCGTTATATTCTCTCCGTAATTCACAATACAGTAAACACTATTTTTTTTATACTTATCTAAGTAATTTAATGTAATTAAATAAGTTTTCACTGTTCAACAATGAATAACTCTGTTAAGGGCTACATAACTTATTTTACTAGGAATGTCATGATAGCCTATAGGTCCAGCTTCACAATCAGCACAAGTTAAATATTTGTTATTGCCCACTGTATTGGAAAATCCTACATTCTGGAATGTAAATATGTCATTAACAACCCAAAACAATGAAACATTCTCAGTTTCCGGATTTGATTCGTTCACTTTCTTTTGTTTTATTAGAGGAAGTTGAAACTGGAAATAGAACAAAGAAAGATTACTTACTACCGTGAGTTGTAATTTAAAACTCGTATCTAACCTCCAAACTAGTAAATGAAGCTGAAGCAGGGGAAAGAATAACTGAATTACAGTATTTACATTTAACACTCCTACGATTTTTCCCATCGGATACTTCACCCTCATAATTTTCATTATTATGGAGCATGTTTAATTCAAAATTATGTTTACAAACTTTAAGTTTTGATATCCTTTCGCAACTACAGCCACTGTCACCATAGATAATAGAAGAGACTGCCACAATCGCGATTCGCGAACCGCGCCATTATTCTATGGCTAGAAATTGGCCTCAATGATTTGGGATCGAGGGCGCGCCATTATTCTATGGCTAGAAATTGGCCTCAATGATTTGGGATCGAGGGGGATTATCCCTCTTTATCCTGCCTCATCTCGTGTAGGCCTGGACAGCCTTCGTAGGTGGGCCCCATCCGTCGNTTTAAAAGTTCCCTATAATAAAAGCTTCACGCCACTGAACTTATCTATTGAACTTAAACAACACCACTAATAGAGGCCAATGATGGTATACTTTATAAAGAATTAGAAATCAACTTATACAGGGTGTTCCTAAATAAGTGTCGCAACGGAAAACTGTAAATTCCTCTTGAAAAAAGAAACATTTTTTTCCTCTTCCATTTTTCTCTCCGGGCTTTCGTTTTCGAGACACACGTTGTCAAAACTTAAATTTTTTTTTAGTTTTTCGCCAATATCTTAGGAATCGTTTGAACTACAGGACTGAGCTTTTGTACACACATTACCACTATTAATAGCTACTTTTTCGCACCCTTCTCGAATTCATTGGACGTGTCAGTGGTGGAGATTTTAAGGTATCGTAAGGGTTCCACCCCCTAAATTTTACGCCACTGGAGAAATTGATTTTTGAGCAAAAATTCTAAAGCGCCAATGAATTTTACACAATCAGAGTTCTCTTGGTTCATTGCTCTAAAGTCAACCATTTTCAAGAAAAATGACTTTTTATGAACAAAAGCAAACATTTTGCTAACGTTTCGAAAATCTTTTGTAATTCAAAAAATAGGTAGTAATAATTAACAATTTTAACGAAATTTAACAACAGATAAGATTTTAACTTTTTTTTATCAATTTGGCAAGTAAAATTTACAGAAACTGTTCAAAATTACGTCCGTTGACTTGAATGCACGCATTACAACTTCTAATCATGTTTCTTTCTGCCGCAGCGGCTTCACCTCTATCCGTCAACTTTTCGATAGTATTGACATGGAACGTTAGCAAAAATGTTTGCTTTTGTCATTTTTCTTGGAAACGTTGACTTTAGAGCAATGAACCAAGAGAACTCTTATTGTGTAAAATTCATTGGCGCTTTAGAATTTGCTGTCAAAAGTTAATTTTTCCAGTGGCGTAAAATTTAGGGGGGGGGAAACCCTTACAATACCTTAAAATCTCCACCACTGGCACGTCCAACGAATTCGAGAAGGGTGCAAAAAAGTAGCTATTAATAGTGGTAATGTGTGTACAAAAGCTCAGTCCTGTAGTTCAAACGATTCCTAAGATATTGGCGAAAAACTAAAAAAAATTAAAGTTTTGACACCGTGTATCTCGAAAACGAAAGCCAGGAGAGAAAAATGTAAGAGGAAAAAAATGTTTCTTTTTTCAAGAGGAATTTACAGTTTTCCGTTGCGACACTTATTTAGGAACACCCTGTATGTAGAATTGAGAGGTATGACTAGAATTAACTTTTTTTTTAACTTCAACCGCCTATCGATAAGTTTCTATTTGATCTATTTCCATAAAATTTTGTCGTAGAATCTATTTAGCCATTCCTTAGCAAACCTATAAATGTTATTAGATAAAGTTAGGTTATATTTAGTTTAGATAAATAATATTGATCACGGGATATCTCCAGAATATTTTAGCCGTAGATGTCGATGACGATTTTGGCAAACTATCATGTAGGATTAAAAAATAATATATGCCTAGTATATTTTCATTTCTCAAAAATTAATTAGGACTAATCAGGGGCAAAAAAATATTTTCTATGTAGGCGAAGAATTTGAAAAAAAAAATAAGTAAAGTAATTCACATTTAAAATGTATGCCGATATTTGTTTTGACAAATCACTGATTTGTAAAGTCACAACCGAATCGAAGTAGGCCAATTATATACTTCCAAATCTGGGACATGGAAATATATATTTTTTATTTTGAACTATTAATCAGGAATATTTTTGATATATTATATATTTAGTTATTATTGCATAATTGCAATGTATTGATGAAAGTTAAGAATACTGTATTCTTATGTATTATATACTGGGCAAGTTAAATGAAAGTACCTGATTAGTTGCTATTGTGCACAAATTCAATTCAAGTACTGTGCAAATATTAACCTAACAATCGAAATTACTTACCTTGCAAAAATAATTAAAATATAAATGAAAATATTTTTCAAAATGACCCTTCGCTTACAAAAGCCGCAAGCGGTTTTTATTTCTAAATATAGATTCGTCAATACTCTACATAAGTATACAAATTATATTATAAATTAAGATTCACTGTATTTTCTGTAAATTTTAAAGGATTCTTGTAGATAATTTGATAATATCTCAACAGAAGCAAAATCGTTTATACCGATACCTATAGATACGCAGAATTCGAAAATGTAAAAATAATAAAAAAAACTAACTTCATGGTCGTCACATTTTCATACAATATCAAATACACTTGTCAAATTTAATGTGCAGTATTTTTATCCCCGACAGTTTTTACTAAATAAGAACAGAGCTTTTGTATTTATTCACTCTAATGTACGTACCACCCTTTAAGTGATAGACTAAAACTTGATATTAGTTAATTAATTACGAGAGATTATTATTTTCAATTCTTAAGACAATAAAGATGGGAAGATTTGTTATTAAGTAAATGAGAGGGGTTTTCTGTGAGTTAAGTGAACTGAAACGGACAACAAATATGTTCGACTTAAAATTAATTACACAAACAATTATTGTTCTTATTCTAACGAAGCAAACATAGGAATTACGATTATAAATAGCCAGAGATCTTAATTTCTTAATTTGCCCACAAGGTTCATAAATTGGCTATTTTAATGATGCAGCCTGGTTGCTGCAATAATATTTCGAGTGTGATGTATAAACGCAGTATCAACTCAATACTGTTAATAAGCAAAATTAATGACTTATACAATACGTGAAACGTAACACCGAGCAATTTACGGATATTAAATTGCTTCAAATTCAAATTATTCTGACGGTTGTAATAAACTACGCTGTTGTGAGTATTGATTTGAATCATAACACTAAGGGCCGTTCATATGTAGATAATACGCTTTACTGTTTCTGTCGAACAATATGCATTGTAGGTATACAATAGAATTATGCAGTGACGCGCTTTCAGTGTTACCTGTACCATTCACAGTTTTCAGTGTTGTGTAAATATAATTAAATATGAAAATCTGCATTAGTGCACTTTAATCACTTTGGTTAATACTGCTGCTTTCCTTCAGGATGAAACTCAGTTTATTTACTTTATGATATTCAATGCGCTCTATAACTTTACCACTTTTTGTTGTTTGCTGTCTGAAAATTCAATGCTTAGAAATTACATGATTGGTGTCAACCATTAAAATTCTATAGTGTCTCCACGGATGAAGTTGACAAGAGAAAATCTTTTGTTTTTGACTTTATCGAAAAATGTCATGTTTTATAAAAAGTCCTGCCTCTCGAAAAAATGAGACTGTCATACAAACATCTTAGATTAAACATTCAGGGTGATCATAAATTAAAAAACACGAAAATACTCAAGAGAGAAGTACCATTATTTATTACTTTACACACCAATTTTACAAAACAAATCTGTTTATAACCTGTTAGATTTTTTATGATTATTGGAGTTTCAATTAAATAAAAAGAATAAAACAAATACAATTCTATTCTAGACTTTTAACAACTGCATAACCCGACAGCTAGATAGAGAGTGTTCCTTGGTACTCGACGTCTTTCATCGGCCGTGGTG